AACTATAAATGAGCGAAGAATTCTATGCTAAAGTATGTTTAGTTGCATACTGAACACAACTAGAAAGTCATAGTTTCCTCCAGAAATCAACTTTCCATACTTATTCAAGTAAAGGAGGATTTTTCTGACGATGATTTTGTTTCCATGAGAATTATATTTGCTCGCGAAACCACTGTATTCCTGTGTCAGTAAATCCAACCAACCACAGTTTTGCATAAATCAGTAAATATAAGATTTGAACAGCGCAAACTGAAAGAACACAACTACGGCAATATATTAGTACCAAAGTGAAGATAAATGATAATCGGCTTGTAGTTTATATTCACTATCTTGGCTCAGTAACCCATCTAAAACGCTTTGAAATCTGAAATGATAAGCGTTTGCTTCGAATGCATCTGTGAACACCACCGCTCACTAGGATGGATGAACATCCAGCCAAAGAGTTCATGATTTGAAAAGACGTACAGATTGGATTCCGCAGCTAGCCCCTATCCGTCAGTGCTGTGCTATTCACACCACATAAAAATTATTCTCCAAGCAGTAATCGCTTTCATCTATAGAAAAAGTACATTTTCTTGCCATTGTAAACTTTTTACATGAAAATTTTATTACGTGTTACTTTCGCATCAGATACAAGTTCAAATGTTTTCTAACTGAAATACTGATAAGGAAGGTCTAATTCAAAATTTATCGTCACAACCAAATCCTAAAGTAAACTTGCAGATAATGAAAGCCCCAAGAAGATACTTTTCTTTTATATATCTTTTGTTTACAACACATTTTGTGTGTACAGGAAGCTTAGGATTAAGGCTATTTTCCATAAAAATTAGGGGTCATTCAACATGAGATAGGAGCAGATACACACAGTGAAGCAATGGAAAGCAATCTTAGTATTATTGAGGTAGCAACTACACATCTAAGGATTGTAACTAGCTCAACTGATAGTTACTAAAAAAACCCAGTTCCGCCGAAAGAAGGCAGTAAACTGTGATTGCAGAGGCTGACTTTAGTATGTGGTACATTATATAAGCCAATTTTTACACTTAGTAGAGTCTAAACGACCCCCCTTTAAAACGGATGGTATTTCCACTTCCATGAAAATAATTATATGATGGGAAAAGCTTGTACAGGCTAGTAATGTGATCTGAATGATTTTCATCAGAGCACTGTTTCGTAATTAATAATGACTTCATAACAGTTTCAACTAAAGACTGAGATCAGCTGGAGGACTACTGAAAAACTAGGAGTACTAGAAAAACGGTTCCTTCTATTTATGTATTCTTTAACAGTTTGCACATATGACCACACAAAGGACTGAACCCAATACCGTCATTCTAACAGCTGGTACTTCAAGATTCAGACAGTTAGTTGAAATTCAATAGTCTACATTTTTTCGCATTCTCTCAGTTCATAATATAAAGGAACTGTTGCCCAACTTCATAGATCAGTATCTCTTCTCACACTCTATGTGGTCGGTTCCACTTCTCATCAACAAATCGGAAGTTTATCTTGAAACATGTGAACCGTAAGACAAGAATTTCAGATGTTGTAACCACATGCAGTCAATAAAATAAGTAATAGTCCATAAGACTTCATGAATTAAATTCTTTGAATTGTTTGCAGTAATATAAGTCATTTTACAGAACTCATTCAACGCTTTACTGAAACCTTAATTGTTATTGTGTTCGTATAGCAACAATCAATAGAAATGTGTCTGCTTTTATGATTTTTGATATTACTGAGAAGGCATTCGGGAGAAATGAATTAATCTAGAGGCAAATGAATAAACAATGGCACCACCAAGGTATTCTGTGACTTCCAGTCGACACCGTAGCACTCCGAGAACACAATAAAATTATCTGATATAATTTATTCAATAAACTGACTTAACAATCAATCTTCCAACCAATCTTCCTAAAGCAATGAACTTGTTGAGATGTAATGTAAGCTCACGTGATGTCTACTGGCAAAATATTTCATTACTAGCAGAAGTATTTAGTTTATCTACTATCCCACTAATGGGCGCAACCCTGTCTAATTCTGCTTAGTTTACCATTACTTAGTTTATAGCTTTTAGTTACTTGATAAACTGCAGATTTTTAGAATTAGTTTTTAAAGTACGTTTGTAACTGTGTATTTTATTTTACACGAGACAAGTTGCCACAGTTTTCATTTCAATAATATAAAACTTTGTTTTTAAAACTAATAAATGAAAGATAAACAAAAATGAGACATTTTCTGTTTCTGCATCTCAGGTTTATAAACTAAAAAAGCTACTATTTTGAACACCTAAATGCTGTGTTCATTTTATACAGTAGAATCATAAGTAGAAAATAAAGCGATGAGTTAATTCCTAATAAGTTTTTTCAGTGTTGATAATGATAGGCATAAAAATGAGACTAGAGAAAAACATTACTAATAATATCTTACTTTACATCTATTTACCAGCCAAAATTTAACAGGTCAAGTTAATTGAACTTCTTCCTGTTTTTCCGCGCTGCATTTGAAATATAGTTGGTCTTTTTTCATATGAAAAGACTTTTAATAAGCAACTTCTGTTCCACAAAACCCGATTTTTGTTTACCTTTTTGTATTGAATTAAGGAAAAGAAATGGATCTCTTTCTAAGCCGCTGAATTTGTGTTAAACATTTTCAGTGGTCTGTAACCGATATATTTACCTGGCAGAAAGTTTTATTTTTATCTACTGTTTTCCACTCAAAGTACTCAGTACCTTAACAACAACACTGCTAGTATTAAGTTAATTATGCTTCCATAATTTGCATTGTGTTTCTCATCGTAAAATAAATATTTTTATAATATGGTGACCGAATATTCTTCTTTCTACGCCCGAATTCCATTTGAAAAATGAGATCAAGAGGGCATACGTTGATTTTCTAAAGGCTCTTATTGACCATTTTAGACTTTACATCCAATAAATCCTTCCATAAAAGCCTCTGAATGATTATTCGGTTGTAGTGTTGAACAGGCTAATCTTAGCTCCCAAATTTCTATCCTTTCTTACCATTGCCTGACGATTAATTCGGTTATTAAGTTTTCTAGCATGCGCATATCCTATGCTTAAACTATGTGGAGGGTTACGATCTAGGTGTGTATCTGAATACATCAGTTTTCAAGGAACATCTTTGATTTTTTGGTGTTTTTTCTGTTTTCAATAAATAGTTCAGAAAAGGCAACTTGTCACTGTTGTATTTAACCTTTCAAACATCATTTGAACTTCAAAAAATACTGTCTTTAGTGTTAACAAAATATAGCACATACTTATGTCAACATCTTTTGGTAAGGGCATAGTTGTATTCGACAGTGAACTCATTGATGGATTATTTAAATATTCTACATAATTCACTTCTGCATCTTGCAAATATCTGAAGACATTTCTTCTAAATGTGAAAGTTTTCATTCTTTTAACACAATTTTAAAGACTATCTGACCTTAAAATAGGTTGGTTTGTAGAATAATCGTTCCTTAAGTCGTGGTCGTGGAAAGTTGTTTATACTTTTTAATGGATCTCTAATTCCATTAGAAAATAAAAAGCAGATTACAAAAACTTACCAATATCGCATATCCATTGGTAAAAGTTTAAAACAAGTGGCTGATGGAATATACAGAGGCTATATAGTTTCAGTGAGAAAGCGAGTAATAATGAAAGTCCTAAATTCTTCACAGACTCCAGCATCTGGCTAGCCAAGATTTCAGATCACTCAGTAAGGCTGTTTTATCTTTATTTGAGTTTCAGAGCTCGTTATTTATCGTTTTTTGTATTTAAAAGGTTCACCACCTCATAAAATAGTCTATTAAATATATTCGTTTCTGAAGCATTGACTACTTTAGTGAGTAGGTTTCGTAAGGTTCGTCTGTCTGGAGGTGCAGTCTCGAAGAAGTTATAGTGACTAGCTCAAATAAAAATTAAAACAACCTTTTGATAGGATGACAGTCAATTCAATTCCAACCATGATAACAATGAATCTATTGGATTAACGTTTTCTACCGTAGTGTTTGGTACTGGAATTTTGTTCAAGTATTCATTAGAAGTGTCTAATTAGGTGATTTTCTGGGCTCTGAGATGTTTTTTCTGTAGGCGCAATTAATTTCAGTAGTTTCACGTATACAATGCCATTTGCCTACTATCAATTAATTTCAACTTACGGAAAAATCTTTTATTCAAGTTCAGGTCGAGATGTGACTCGATAATTTTATAAATACGTATGCTAGGGGGAAAATAGCTGATATAGGTTATATTCTTATAAATAAAGAAAATAATACCTCAAAGCCTAGAAAAGTAATAAGTTTCGTATTTCGAACGAAAGCTTCAATGAAGTTCAAGAAAAGGCAAATCGAATAATCTCAATATTAGTGAATTGTATGTAAATCTTCTTCAACAGGATTGGCAAGAAATTCAATTATAATTTTATGCAGAACATCTCGGTTTTTATATGAACAAGCTACAACTATATGATTGAATTGATGTCTTCCGTTACGACAGTTTTGGAAATCTTTTCAGTGAAGCGGTCAATGCTACAAAATTTGAGCTAAATTATTGTCAACAAGGCTTAAATATTCTATAAAACAACGAGAATAAGCGGTGCCCTTTGAAGCAGTCATTTCAGGTCTAGAAAAGTTAAAACTTCACTAGTGAGTCGTCAATGGAACTGAAAACATCCAGTTGTCTTCGTCATTCAGTATGTATTAAAAACGTCTCACTTCAACCATCCTCACTACATGATAAACTCAGAAGACTGCTGGAGATTTCGTTGTCAAACATATACATTTATTTTGCAACTGATGTTAACCAGTAGCCCCTTCTTCAGTTGAGTTAGGCATCACACTCTAATATTTCTTAGAAGTAGCAGCTTATAGTGTAGAAACCATCGAAGAATATTACATACGATGTATAGCTTAAACAGTCAATTTTTACCGGAAGTATATGAAATGCCATGAATACTTTTTGAAAAAGTATTATATTGTGTTTTACAAAACATCTATGGCTTTCCGCATTCATAACTTTCCACCAGAAGCTGTATCTTTATCTACTTATCATAAAAAGAATTATGATATACATGATGAAAAATGTCATTTCCAGTACCTAACATATCAGTCACTTTTTTCTTCGAAAGAGTATGGTTATCTTTCTTTCATTCGTGTTATTCATCAACTAGTAGATGTAAAATTGAATGAACATCTACTCTGGTAATTCATTGTTAGTATCACAGCCTTAAATATTTGACATTTGTGTTTCATTAATTTACACAGCTTAATTTGAATTACCAAGAGCTAAAGTAACATAAATTTGCTATTGATAGATGGAATAGGCAAAAGTATCCCTAACTTTTCTTCTTCTAAAAGTTAATCCCCAAGTTAAATAAATAAAATGCATATACTTAATTTGAAAATAAAATAGTTTATAAATAAAACTATACATAATAAAAAGCTGACAATCTGTGAATTTTATTCATGTCTTTAAAATAAATGAAGTTTGTTCAAATGAATGCAATATGATTGAATACAGTTTCCAATATGAATGAACATTTCACTGTTGCATACAAATCACTATGGATAAAAAATTATTAACATATAAGTTTTTAAATAAAAATGGCAGGAATTCATAAAAGACATTAAAATGATAAACTATGATTCTCTTACTGTAGTATAGAGGTCATTTAACTGGTAAATTAATGTTTATTTATGAATGAATGTATTTGAAATAGGATCATGGTTATAACATTGAAGTAAATATTAATAGAAAAGAAATTACAACACTTTGGTCTAGAAGTAGTAATCTGACAAATTCGTCAAATTGATGCTCTAACTTACAGATGATTCACAGCTACAATCAACTAAGAAATGAAGGTGATGTCTACTTTGGCATTTATTATATAACATTACTGATTATTATCTCAAGTGCAGCAATCTTCTGAATGCATCTGCATATTCTTTATTACATAAAGCATATATAAATGGGTTACACAAACTATTTATGTATGCAATCCAACCGGTAGTCATGTAAACTTTTTCAGAAAGTAGACACTCACATATTCCTTCCACTAAGTATACAGTAGCAAATGGAATCCAGCAAATCATAAAACAGCCGACAACTATTGATACAGATCTCACAGATTTCTGTTCTTTATTAAATATTTGACGCTGATGTCGGTTACTAACTGATGTACTATGTCTGTTATGATTCATTATTTTTATGTCCATATCTGTCTTTTTATGCATTTTCGTTGTGATATTTTCAGACGTTCTGCTGTGTTGATCACTAGTAGAAATAATAACACTTTTATTATCATCCTGAACAGAGTATATGCTGGCTGTATTCTCACTTATACTGCATGATGGTCTTTTCTCAAGTTTATTTGGCAACACAAGATTTTCAACAAACCTAAATCTTCTAGGCACTAATGAAATCTGAACTACCCCGATGGGTTCTTCGAGTGATGTCACCGTATCAGAAATACCTTTAACTAACTGTATGTTCGGATCCTTGAAAGTTGAGCAAGATTCACTCGGAATATATGTTTCCTTTAAAGATATGTCATCTTTGTTGCTAAAATTTAACGTAATTTGGGTCATTTGTTTGCATCGGTTTTCACTAATGTATGTCGTGCATATTTCCGATTTTTTGCTATGTAACACAAATAACCGGCATTTCGTAAAATCATCTGCGCGTAACCATCTCTTGATACGTCCAAGTCCATTCAGTTGGAATAATATGCTTAGTGAACCATATCTATGTTCTTTTAGTTTTGATGAAAATCTAACACTTTTGAATGCTTTCCTACGACTGTGAATCACCCAAAATATTCGTAGATAAATGAATCCGACCAGAGGGAATGGAATATAAAATGCTAACGCTCCTGTCAAAATCCTGTACCATGCGTCACTTCTTACATAACAGTTTCTAACGCCTGTATGATGCTGAGCACCAAGTAAAGGTGGCAACATTGCTATGAAAGATGCACTCCAAGCGAATATAATCATTGCAAGTGCTGTTTGACGTGTACGCTTACCAATATATTTCATTGGAGAGGTTATAGCGATATAACGATCAATAGAAATACAACATACATTTAATATTGAAGATACACAAAGAAATATATTAGCTGAAAGAAAATATAGACACAGTTCATGTGATTCATAAGGCCAGTAACCGTAATATTGACGAATTATTGAGAATGGGAGTATCAAAACAGCAACAAGCAAATCAGCCACAGTAAGTGACACAATGTACAAGTCAGTGACACGTCTAAGTCGTTTAGTTTTTAAAACAGCTAATATAACTAGTAGGTTGCCAAAGAATACGATAAAAGTAAGTGCAATCAACAAGCAGTAGTAAATATGGTTAATACATGTCTCCATTGACTCAACATTGCTGTATTATTTCCTGTTAGGTTCATGTCATCAGTACTCCAGTTTGTATATTTGCTAGATAATAAACAACAGGTATTCACATCAGTTTTTATCCGAACACTTTCAAGAACAGTACTGCTCATATTGAACGTTAATTCTTTCATTCTTACAGGCTTACATACATATATATAATGAATCTATCTGTTTTCTGATTTGGACTATAACAGTGAGAAAGTTTGAATGTGTTTACAACTATAAAATAAGGTTTCCCACTAGAATTATTCAATATATCCATTACCGGTGTTATGCTTGATTTCAAAAAAGGTGATAGACAGTAAATAACGTTGTATGATGATTTATCTTCATTAAAAAAAGAGGCTTGCCAATGAGAACCAAGTTTATTAATATGACTCAACCAATCACAGTTTACCCAATAGTATGAAAAATTATTTCGAAAAATAATAATACTTCCAATTGCTTTTTTATCAAAAAGATGAGTATGCTATAATCCGTATTACACAGTAGAACATAAGTGATTTAGTAAACCAACTGAATTATTAAAAGCATATTTAGAGGTACTAAGTTTTTGGGATGTTGCACAAATAGATAAATTTAATTCTAAAGTTGAGATTTTATTGTTTCCGCATATATCTCTGAAAATAGTGTGAATTGTTTTTATTCACTTTTAATCCTACTCTCATGTTTGAACAGTAGCAATAGCAGCGAAGTTAAAAATATCGAAAACTTTCTATCTTCACAAACACAATTACCGTAGCAAGTTTCGTTGTCTAGTACGTGTAGAAGAATCAATCAATTGTGGAGATAAAACGTTAAGCATATGAATCATAGTCGACAAATTGGCAAAACTATTGTGAGCCATAAGAGAAGGCTAATCGGTGGGAAGATGGCATCTTCTTTGGAGAGATCACTATCAGAAGTATTCTGTGCGATAATCCAACCGTTTCTTTTCTCATTAGTCTCCTGCATAACATAATTTCAACTTACTCGTGATATATAAAATGGTGGAACTGACTGCATACCGTTCAAAAAGTATTTTGTTCAGTAAAAAATGCCCTAAAAAAAATGCAAAATGTTATTTCTACATAAGCAGATTTTTGCAGTGTATTTTCTACTACAATGGATACGTTTTCGCTACAACACTATATTTTTTGAACAGCTACTCCTTTTTCGAAGATCAAACCTGTAAATCATCTAATCGTCCTACTTTTTTGAAGTTTTTACTGTTGATATAGTTTAGTGGAGATTCCTTATGTTCATATCTCCTACACAAAATATCTACAGGAGTGTGGATACACTTCATAGGTGCATATAATTTATAATTGACCAAATATGTTTACGTTGGTCTGCTCAAAAATATTATTTATCTGCTAACTCATTCATGTTTAGTTGAAGAATGTTCCTTCTGTTCCCAATTATTCACTGCATCAAAATTATCGAGGTTTATGACAATTGCAGCATACAGTTTCTTTGCTTGACACATCAAAATTCTTAGTATTTTAAAGTTATATGACTAGTGATGACTAAAGGGGAATAAAAATAGGTGAATCTCCGATAAGAGGCCTCAAATCAGGGATTAACCATTTTATAATTCCCTAACCATTTAAGCAAGCGAAATTTACTTTTCAGCGTGACATAAAATATCACTAAAATATACTTTCGATTTCTGCATGCTTCTTAATCTTCTGGATGTTAGGAGATTTTCATGAAGTTGTTTGAAGCATCTACAATGCATGACTTAGATAACTTTAAACCCAGAGAAAGGCTATTTCCCCATACTCATACTCATTTATCGCGAATTCCAAATTAAGTATGTCCACATTGAATCTAACAGTCGACATTTGGAAAACTGATGAATGCTTCAAAAATTATCCATCAATTCTCGCCATGATTGACTTCTTGAGGATTCACTTCGAACAAAATCGATTGAAATTGGAAGATAAACGGCCATACATTACTGTTGTTCATCTGAGAGTATGTTGTACTTTGTATTAATGTTAGCTGCGAACTTGAAGATTTTGAAAATTCACTGTGCATACCTTAATGGACAACGAAATGCAAATGGGTTTACTGAGAACAGAAGTTTAGTGAGGATTAACACAACAGTATCCAGTACATGAAAATCCGTAACAACAGTATTGAATACTTACTTCTTAGTTGTATCTGCTTTTTGTTTTAATAATTCACTAACCTGTTTCATTTGTGTCTATCCGACTGGATTTTTTCATTGGCAAGTGTACTGAAGACCTATTTTTAAATTATTTCAGACCATATGCCAGTGTCAGCCCATGAATGTCACGTCTGGTTACTTTTTAGATTAAGACGAATTTCTAATTGTATTCAGTCCACGCGGTCCTGAAGTCATATGTTGTTTCCTGTTACTTGAGTTATATTTTCAGTGGTGCCATTTCGAAATGAAACCCAATGTTTCCTGTTGCATTTCTGAAGTATCAGATATCTTTGCACAAATCTCGATATGGTGGTTTTGCAACAAATAATTCATAAATACTTCTAGATGATTTTCTTGGGTTCAATGCCTTTTGAATGTGATTTCTTCCTTACTCCTTATTGTCAGTACTAAGCTGCTTGTTTGAATTATCGGCGTTGTTAAAAATACAAACTTTGCAGTCAATTCACGTCAGTCAGCATCTTGGTATTCAGCATTTTAGTGGAGAAAGATCTATCTCTCTATACTTAAAATCGTTTGTCCGATTCTTCCCCATAGAACCTTTAGGTGGCCATCACCACTTCTAGTGTGTTTCGACATCGTTATAATTACGTCTGATTTATTTTTACAATATTGAAGGTGAAAGGAAAATTTGGACCGTGGTGAGATGCGAACCAGTGACCACCCGAGCTTTCTGCTTGGTGCTCTACCAAATTAGCTACAAGCTCCGACTGCTGACAATTTATATTTCATTTCAGTCAATTGGATTAGAGGGAGGGGAGCACTATATGGACTATCATCCTGATCATTTGAAATTGCCAGTATCAATACTGGTCTGTAAAATCATGGCTATCTCGGACAGTCAAAATGGTACTCTTACAGAAAGTGTTCACCTAAGTACTAATTGGCTTTCCAACCACATATAGTTAACAAACAGTTTGCTTCATAGATTTAATGATATGATACTACTCAGAGACGCAGAAGGTCCTTATGTCAACAGCTGTTTTGTCTTTATGATATACATCATAAAAAACACCGGGTCTACAGAGTAAATGTAAATTACTGTGTGATGTTTGCTTCTTTCGCACCAGAATAATCAGATTCATATGATGATACAGAATGTTTACCCGAGTAAGTGGTGTTACTAATAGGATCAATTACTTTCGATGCTTTTCCAACCGCCTGAAAAGTGTAAGTTGATTGGTTCGGCATTTCGGAGTGAAGATTTTGATAAAGTATTTTGGCGTACAATCTGTTCATTATCTAAATCGCCAGACGATTTTTACCATTTTTTTCAGATTCTTGATTTGACTATGCAGAATAAATTTTCCCTTTATTATTATTTGTCTCATGGGTTCCTAGTGGAACATAGGGCTTCAGTAGCGCATCTTCATTTGACTCTGTTCTCCGCAGTCATTTCAACTTTGTTCTACGACAGCCCACAAGCTTCTGTTTCTTCCTCACACCATCTCATCTATGTCATTCTCACCTCGGACGCCCAACTCGTTGTTTCCCACTTGGTTTCCACTTGACGGTCAGGCCTGGCGCGTGATGTCCCCAATCGGTCTTCTTAGTGTATGCCCAGTCCAATCCATCTCCAGTTTCTTTTTCTGGATATTTCTTGGGCGACAGCTTTCTGGTTGGTTCGTTGCCAGTTGTATTCTTTCTGGCCATTTGATCTGACCTTCACTGTCAACTGAGCGTAGGCAGCTGTAGGTTGGTATATGTCTGTAGTTTGTTGGAAATACTTTTTATGACACGCAAAGTTTCTGAGCTATATAGAAGCACTGACCTTAAGTTGATGTTGAAAATCCTCATCTTGTTTACTCTCTTTACTTAGTGTAGTAGATCTTCACATTGGTTTCAGGTTAGTGAAGGCCTGTCTTGCTCTCTTCTTGATCCTGGCTTTGACAACCTCATCTGTTCCTGTGCCGCCAGTAGTTGAAACGATACTATCTAGGTAAGTAGTGAAAGGGACTACTTCCTTTAGGCTTCTTCCGTTGATGGTAATTGGTGCTTGTAGTTCATGCTGTTGCTGGTTGGATATCTTCATCACCTCTGTCTTCTCTACGTTCACCTGAAGAAAGTTATGTCATCACTGTCTCGTCTTTTTTGTCAGTTTGTTAGTTCTTGCCTTTAGATCTTCGAGTTTGTGCGACAAGACATGAGACATAAATCATCATCTGCGAAATCCAAAGCTTCTAGACTCTTTTCATAGGTCAAACAATGTATGCCCATCTTCTCACTCCTCATGGTTTGCTGCTTGATCGAGTCAATCAGAATGAGGAAGATTATTTTCTTCTACTGTTGTGATGATTATTTGAATGGAGTTTGAAATGTTTTCTTCTTTTAGAATGAAACACTTGGTCATAGTACACCAAAATGAGCAATTTTAATGATTTTAGCTAGGTTAAACTATCATTACGGTGTAAGTCTTTCAAGATATTAGCTGAGAAAAATCAAGTTTCACTTGTTTTACTACCCTTCTTTCTAAAAAGTCATAATTCATAGAAGTCACAACATTTGTTTCGTTCGAAAACTTCACTCTCAAAATTTAATTTTCCGGATAATTTTTTTAAAATTTCCAGTTCATATGGAATCAGATAATCCTTTCTTGAAGCAGACTTCTACATATGTCAAAGACAGATTTCTGCACTTATTACTATGTACATGCTTGCATTGGTTCAGCTACCAGCATAAAGCCACCTACCTTAGCAAAGCGTAGTCTCTTCATAGGTTCAAATTCGCATCTTCCAGCATGGTCCGACAAATTGGAAGATAAGCTTCAAATAGAGGTTATTTACTCTTGAAATCATAAACCGAT